ACCACCGCTATATAGCTGGAATATTGCTAGGTGTAGCTAACATTGTATTTTGGCTGTCAGTGTGTTATAACTCCTTGCTGTCTATTTCAGTAGTATTTCACAGACGTTATTGTTTCTAGTCAAAAACTGAAACATAGTTTAGTCAGTGTAAATGCGAATGTTTTATAAAAGTATGGTTTTAGGCACCTTTGTAACAACATTCCTGCAATGTCACGTCTGATGAGTAGGTTTACAACCCGACCTGTAGTATTGTCAGTGTAGATAAGGTATCTCAAGAAATCTATGATCGTATGGTTTTGGACGCGTTTAGCAACATTCCTTGAGTAGGTGTGCGTGTGCATGAGGGTGTAGGTGTGTCTATTTAATATGAAAACCACACCCACTGTCACTCCATGTAATATAAGAACCGTACCTAACGTCTCTAATTATAATTTTAGAATCACACCCAACTTCTTTATAGTTAAGATCAGAACCACACCCTTTTTATTTAATCTGAGAACCACACCAGCCGTCTCTTTATTTGATATCAGAAACACACCCACCGTCTCTTTATTTGATATCAGAGCAACATCCACCGTCTCTATAACTTATATGAGAACAAACTCCATCCACTCTTCATCTAATATTAGGACCGCCTTCTTTCATTTTTACTCTCATATCTGAAAGGTATATAAAGAAAACTATCACCGTCCAAAATTTAAAAAAAACCAGCATGAGCCCACACAAAACATTGTATCTAATATCAGAGCAACTTGCACCTTCTGTTTTTATAATATCAAAACTACCTTCACCTTCTGTTTACTTATCATTGGAATTGTGTCCACCCATTCTTTATCTCATTACCAACTCCACCTAATCTATATATATCTGACATGTCTTCTCCCTCTCTTTACCTAATGTCAGAACCACCACCCTTTCAAAGTTTGAAATCAAATCTGTTTCCATCGCCTCTTACACTCTACCCCATGTATGATATCACAATCATCTCAATTCACTGCACATCACCCCAGGTTTTAGTTGATACCAGAACTCTCGGCTCTCACATAAAAGGACAGGTACAATTTGTTCAAGTATTCGGAATTATGAAATACATGTATCTAACATGTGTTCGTTACAGAAAGATAATTCTAAATATATGTCGTGCCTTTATATACCGATTCTTATCAACCATGTGATTCTCTTGACCAATCAAATCTCAAGATAAAAGACCAACGCAAGATAAACTTTCCGCCAGGCAATATAAAGACTGTTTTAACTCAGTTTCAGCAGTTGTTCCTGCAGAATGAAGACCCTTCTCATCAGCTTAGTGGCGGCCACGGTGCTCGGGGTGGTGACGTCTCTTCCCTTCCAACGGGACACACTTAAACAGCTCATACCTCTTGCCAAGAGCCTGGGGGCGACGAAGTTCGCCCACTTTGTTCACGAAGCCAACCTGACAGCTAACTTCACAAGGAAAGGTAATTCAATGCAGCTATATGACAGGCTTCGTTCAGAGTGGTTCAATGTCGATGGCATATCCATGTCAGTGTCGTAGATTTACTTTTGCCTGTGAAGATTATACAATACTAATACAGTCTAAATTGTGTTGGGGAAAGGCACAATTAGGCAAGGGGATAAGGGATCTGCCACTTGTCAACACTCGCTCCTTTCTGTAACCTCGAAGAAGATTTGTCCATGATTCTTATGCGCGAAAATACGACAAACCAATGAGAATGCACGAAAAGAACTGGGCATGTGGATAACAAATTTACAAACTTATTTTACTTTAATATCCATCTTGAATACTGAGAGGAAAATAACTAAGTTCGACATATCGTACTTCATAAGTTGTTATAAATCGAAGCTACATATGCAGTGCATGAGAGAAGTGATCACCAAAGATGGTTATAGCATTCATATCTTCAGACGATTCAAAAGGTATTTTTATCACAAGTCGTGCTATAAAATATATTCTTAACTGGTGCTTTATTATTACTTTTATAGACAACGATTAAAGATTTGAAGATTCTTTAAGAGAAAGATTAGATAGATGTAGTAGATCTTTGCACATGTATTTTGTTTTATATTGCGATATATTGTAATAATTTAAGAGATATAGCAATACATATGTGATATATTGACTGGAAGGTTTCTGCCCAAGTGCGTACATCATAAATTCATAGTAGCTCTCTGTGTGCGACATCATCTTCTTAGTTGCTGTTCTTAGTTGCTGTTACAACATACTTTCAGGCTCCCCGTCCCCATTGTGTATGGTTGTATGCCAATCGTTTGCAGATAGATAAAATGATATAGAACCTTAACGTGGAATGTTTGATTGAAGTATTGCAACATAATGATAAAGATAATAGTATAACATGAATTTCAGCGTCAGTGTTGTTTGCTTCAACAGAATGCACTTCAATGTAGTGTGTAATTATTGTTACTGTATGTCAGTGATTCATTCAGATTCAACTCCAATATAAACATGTGTTTACATGAACTATTGCAAAATGAAACAAACACATGATTTAGTTTTAACTAGTTGAGCTTAAAATCCAGTAACTAAGAACCTTGACTAGAATGTCATTATACAGTCCTACAAAACTGAGACTTAGACATTTATGATAAATTGATATCATATGTCCCATTATGAAATATACAAAAAAAACAATTGTGATTTGTAATATGGTCACTCAGACCCAGAGCCTCTACTAATAAGTCCAAATAAACAAACGGTCCTTTTCAGGCCACTTAATTCCTCAAAATAAAACAATTCAAACGCACAAAACGTAAAGCATTTGGTAGAATATATGGCACTTTTGGAGCCACTTATAATGTCACTTCCAATTGTAAAATGTTACATGGAAATCAAGGGCAGATAATTCAAAGGGAGCTAAATCTGGATGACCCAATATATTGCAGAATCTGAACCATATCGCGATAATATCGCGAGATACTGTACCGATATCTACCGGTTTACCGGTAGTATTGCATAGCCCTAGTTTTAATAAGAGATCAAACATTATTTGTAAAGGGAAACGTTTGCCATTGTTTTCTATGCTGGAATTATGCAATAGTTTACTGTAAAGGCTAGCTTCTTTTATCAAAATACGGAAATAAATGCTGATGGAATTGGTTTATCAAACATTAATAGACTAAAAACGAAAGATTTTACTGACGCAGTACACATTTTCAGGAACAAGTGGTTTCTTTGTGACAGATGCCTTCAGTAGGGCAGCCGCTCTCGTATTTATCGAACACATGTTGTATTTGCCATTTAACATCGATGCCAAGCACATGCGTATGAAACTTTGCTTCTTTTGTTGAATATGAGGCTATCCCGTTACTTGTTGTTTCAGCTGGGAACTTCACCCTGTTCGTCCCAGACAATAAGGCATTCCATGGTCTGCCAAGAAACATCACAGGAAACAAGACCCTGCTGAGACAGCTCATCCTCTTCCACTCCGTCAATGGAACTTACAACAGATCCGAATTGATCCGAAACAAGAAACTGAGGACGCTGTCTGGAAGATTCCTGTACTTTAACCACACCAAGACTAAGGTAAGCAAGAACGACAAATACTAAAGTGGAGATTCCAGTATCATAATCACGCTAAGACCAAGGTAAATAAGGACGTCAGATAATGTAGTGGAGATTACTGTTCTTTAACCACACTAACACCAAGGTAAAACAAGAACGACAGAAAATATACTGGAGATTCATGTTCTTTAACCAAACTAAGACCATGGTAAACAAGAACGACAGAACAATATAAGTGGAGATTCCTGTTCTTTAACCGCACTAAGACCAAGGTAAACAAGGACCACAAATACTATAGCGGCGAGTCCAGTATTATAATCACACTAAGACCAAGGTAAACAAGAACGACAGAAAGTATATTGGAGATTCCTGTTCTTTAATCCAACTAAGACCAAGGTTAACAAGGACAACAGACGCTGATATGTGAATTCATTTACTTTAATGATATTTAAACCAAGGCAAACAAGAATAACAGGCACTTTTGAGTAGATTACTCTGTTTCAACGACACAAAGACCACACTGCACTGCCTACCATAAGACCAAGGTACACAACACTCACTGCAGATTTCGACCTTGGCCATACTGATTTACAGCATAGGCATTCTATTCTCTCCTTTTTTTCGTTAATGCAGGCAGTGTTCGTGAACGGTGTCAATATCACGGGATTCAACAAGAGAGCCTCCAACGGTTTCATCTTCCTTGTCAGCAAGGTCGTGCTAAACGGATCAGGACTGCTCAACAAAACCAACAACAAAACGTCTGGACAATTCCGCCGTCAAGCATATGTCCTGTGTCGTAATGGCACTTTGGGTAGAAACTGCAGTCACCTTGGCAATGGTACCAATGGAAACTTCACCCATAGCGTCAACACTGTCAATCGCCCAATCCAACATGCCAATGGCTCAATATGCATTAACGGGACTTACGGGAGAAACTGCACAAACAATGGCAACGGTACTCATGGAAACTTCACCAATCACCCAATCCAGCATGCCAATTTATCAGGATGCATTAACGGGACTTACGGGAGAAACTGCACCCACCTTGGCAACGGTACACATGGAAACTTCACCAATCACCAAATCCAGCTTGCCAATTTCTCAGGATGCATTAACGGGACTTACGGGAGACACTGTACTCTCCATGGCAACGGTACACATGGAAACTTCACCAGTCACCCAATCCAGCATGCCAATTTCTCAGGATGCATTAACGGGACTTACGGGAGAAACTGTACCCGGCATGGCAACGGTACCCATGGAAACTTCACCAAGTACCCAATCCAGCATGCCAATTTCTCAGGATGCATTAACGGGACTTACGGGAGAAACTGTACCCAACATGGCAACGGTACACATGGAAACTTCACCAATTACCCAATCCAGCATGCCAATTTCTCAGGATGCATTAACGGGACTTACGGGAGAAACTGTACCCTCCATGGCAACGGTACCCATGGAAACTTCACCAAGTACCCAATCCAGCATGCCAATTTCTCAGGATGCATAAACGGGACTTACGGGAGAAACTGTATCGTCCATGGCAACGGTACCCATGGAAACTTCACATATAATGCCAACACTGTCAATCATCTAATCCAGCATGGCAACGGCTCAATTTGCCCCAACGGGACCTTTGGCGTCAACTGCACTTACCATGGCAACGGCACAATCTGCCCCAACGGAACCTTGGGTGTCAACTGCACTATGAATGGCAACGGTACTCATGGCAATATGACGCATGGCAGTATAGCACATGTTTTAAGTCAGAGCTATGGTCAGTACAGCACCTTGATTGTGGACTTGATGAAAACTGGAGCCTGGAGCGAGATCGACAGTAAGTAACACATTTACTTCTTGAAGACAGAATGTCAGTCTTTGCTTTAACTTTGCCTTTGTTTCATTCGTTTTTCAGATTTGTTTCTAACGTGTTCATTAGTATAAGCCACGGTAATACAACAATTCTGTCAATGATTGAACTGAAACATAGCCTTGCCTTTGGGGCCAAACACGTATTGGTGAACATGTCTCTTCCGTGAATACACAATGCCTATAATCTCTTCCTGTAGGACCCCAAGTGACCCTTCTTGCGCCAACCAATGCAGCGTTCAGCAGCCTCCCGACGGCCTACCGAAACAACCTTGACAAGCAGGCCAATTTTCTGAAGAGTATGTACACCTCTTTGGTTCATATTCCACAAAATATTCACACGTTACTTGACACTAACTGGGTATTTCTTTAATTTGTATTTACCTACACAAATAGATCAGCTATATAAAATGACCATATCACACACAGTGTTGCAAGTCTGGGTGTGTTTTCTTCAGGCACAATGATGTACCACATCTTGGACGGCATCCACGGCCCCGATTCTCTGCATCAGAACGACATGCTCACCTCTCTGGAGGGACACCGCATCCACGTCTCCATGCAGAACGGTGAGTCACATATCATCAGAGACTAAATGAGACAGACAGAGCTAGTACACATTGAAAATGATAACCAGTACACACTGAAGACCCAATCCTGTACAATATTTGTGTCTGCTTTGTGTACAGGCCATGATAGTCTGGGTTAACCGTTTCTCACTACACCATTAAGTCAACACAAATTCACACCCATGTGCACAGACCTTTTTCTTGGACTTTTACACAGCATTCTTTTGACCTGTCAACAATTTCATTGGACAATGGATTGTGATAAGATAATCGAGGTCGAGATCATTGGATATTGAATGGATATTTTTTCATCAAACTGTTAACCCCAATTCAAGGGGAAAACAATGTTTTGCATTGGCAACTCATTTGTTTGTGAACAAATCTAATGACAAAAGTCTGTCACAGAAATGGCTTACTATTACAATTTTTACTAATATTATGGCTCTGGTTATTATCAAGTCTTTAGTAAAGGTCTTAACATTTGGATTCCTGGACCTATGCAGACATGTCAGGTGTATTCCTACAGGCTATGTATCAGTTAGTCATGATTCAAGTAATTCTATTTGCATATTATTATCGCATGACTCTCAAGAATATGCCTCGAAAAGGACTGACTGTTTCAAGAATGTTTAAGACTAAGTATTTCGAATGTGCTTCATTTTCTTTGACGTCTGAAAAGACGTCGATATTTACCAAATCATTTGAGCCTACGCGATTTAGGAAACATTCTTATAAGCTCTCTCAACATGGCTTTCTAATACTCAACCAGTGCTGTTTGGAACGGCCTAAAACCATTTTGTTGGGAATACATTGCAGGCCACGTGCACCAGTTCAACAGGGTCAGCATCATGAACGTGATTCATGCCACCAACGGCGTCATCTACGTCCTGAACGGAGTCCTTCACCTTCCAAGCAGCCCTATTGTATGAAGTAGAGCAGAAGTAACCTGTGAAAGAGTGTGAGTGAGTTTAGTTTTACGCCGCACTCAGCAATATTCCAGCTATATGGCGGCGGTCTGTAAATAATCGAGTCTGGACCAGACAATCCAGTGATTAACAGCATGAGTATCGATCTATGCAATTGGGATACGATGACATGTGTCAACCACCCGATCCCGTTAGTCGCCTCTTACGACAAGCATTTGTTACTGAAGATCAGTTCTAACCCGGATCTTCACGTGTCCCCTGTGAAAGAGATGTAATACTGCTTCACGTAGAATGTTGAAATAAAATGGTACTGCATCGGCCGTATGTGTTTTCCTCCAACTTATCTATCGTGTTCCAGCACTAATCGCTGTTTCTTTAACTTATATCATATATCCAAACACTAAATGTCCGGTACCTCAACTTGCCACACATGTTCTTGCATCAAAGTCTACTTCAGTAGTTATTACGCATGCTCACACACACTGAATGTCGGGTACCTCAACTTGCCACACATGTTTCTGCATCAAAGTCTACTTACAATAGTTATTACGCATGCTCACACACACTGAATGTCCGGTACCTCAACTTGCCACACATGTTCCTGCATCAAAGTCTACTACAGTAGTTATTACGCATGCTCACACACACTGAATGTCAAGGCCATCTATGGCCGACAAGTGAGTATGATTGCCGATGGTTTTGGAGAAAATGCCTGCCTACTGTCGAGGAAATCATTTGTAGATGTTGCAATAAGATTTTAGACCCGTGGAATGCCGCTGCCGATCGATTATTGCCCTACATAGGTGCTGTCAACGTGGCTGGAATTAATAAACGAATTTAAAAGGTGAGTTTTCGCTGTCTTGGGTGATCCATGATTTTGGCTTGGAATTGCGAAGGTAGCCGTTTTCAGTGAGTCGTGGCGTATAACTTTTGAAATAATGATCCGATTGTGACCATTTATAGCTCATTTTGTAGGCAAATCATCTCGCTTTCGATCCGTAGACCTCGACGGGGCCTTAAAAATAGTTTACGTGTTGAAATCTAACTTTGATCGAGGAGGGGGTGGTTCCGTCGTTACATCCCTTTCCTTTTTATATAGTACTAGGGTCTATATACCTATATGTCTTCTAATGTTGTTACTAAGCGTGACACGCCCCTGTGGTTAAACCTAAAACTATGCTTCGTCGATATAGATCTGTTATCTCAAGAAGAGAAATGAACATTATTTTATAATGGTATGGTTTCAGTCCTGCAATAAACGTCGCGCGACAGAAAAAGTAGGTTTCAAACGAGAATAAATGAAATATGAACTGGCCGTTCTGTAAGGTACAACACTGAGATGTTGTTTTATTAGGGCAGGAAACAGGAAACTCCTTGCAGTGTTGTCTTGTGGTGCTCGTGCCTCGCTAACTTTCGGTGTGAGTAACTGAAGTACAGGTGACAGACCTGGCGAAAGGAACACCCAAAAGCCTAGGTTACACAAAAACAGATGTTTGCCCAGTGACTTCTATAGCAATATCATAATTTATCAAAATTAACTAAGCTAAACAGACCAACCCCAGGTCTGCACAAAATGTCACCAGCAAGTATCTGTGCTCAGTCAACATGTCATTATGTTAAAAAAACAGCTCTAAATATCTGAAAATGTTTTCAGTTTTAATCAGTAGATGGAATTACATTACAACACACACAGACACACACACACACACACACACACACACACACACACACACACACACACACACACACACACACACACACACACACACACACACACACACACACACAAAATCTTAAACAAAATCATCCAATCAAAGCTGCAAGATGGTTCAGTCTGCTCTGAAACTGCTTGATAAACTACGGATTCTGATTTGGTGTAGTGAACTGTGAAGTGTGATCCAGATCATCAACTTGGTTTCTGATGACTTGGTTCTGTCCGAAGCGTATTTTAGAATTTGCAGCATACACGAAAGTATGCAGTCTGCTGGACCGCTGTGCACATTGTTCACACATATGGTAATGCTCACTATACAATATCGTTCAAAGTAGAACGGGACTAAACTGAGGCTTGGAGGTTTTAAGTGATATCCACCTATGTATTAAGTGATATCTGCAGAATTTAATTATTAAACATCGGAACCACACCTACCTTTTTTTTAATTAATATCATAATTACACCCACCTTCTCTATATTTAAAATCAGAACCACACACACTTTCTCCTTTATTCACAAAATATTGCCACACCCACCTTTTCTTTAACTGATATCACCCGTGAAGATCCGGGTTAGAATTGATCTTCAGTAACCCCTGCTTGTCGTAAGAGGCGACTGACGGGATCGGGTGGTCAGGCTCGCTGACTTGGTTGACACATATCTTCGTATCCGAATTGCGTAGATCGATGATCATGTTGTTGATCACTGGATTGTCTGGTCCAGAGTGATTGAGTGGGCTTAGCTTTACGCCACACTCAGCAATATTCCAACTATATGGCGGCAGTCTGCAAATAATCGAGTCTGGACCAGAAAATCCACTGATCAACAGCATGAGCATCGATCTGCGCAATTGGGAACCGATGACATGTGTCAACCAAGTCAGCGAGCCTGACCACCCGATCCCGTTAGTCGCCTCTTCCGAGAAGCATGGGTTACTGAAGATAAATACTGTAACCCGGTCCAGACTCGACTATTATGGCGAGTGTGGCGTAAACCTTAACTCACTCACTCATTTAACAGGTATCAGAACAATATCCACCCTACTATATTAATTATCACAATAACACACAGCTTCTTTTTTTCAAAATCATAACCTGACCAATCTTCTTTTTTATTAATGTAAGAACCACACTGACCACATTTTTAACATCATAACCACTTGATATCAAAACTCCATCCTCTTTTTTATTCAACATCGGAACCCCCTCTACCTACTCTTTATCTCAGATCTGAACTTGATACGGAGAAAACGACAACTACAAAACTGTCAATAAACCTATCGTCTGCCTCGGTATGGAGAAAACACTTTATTTCTCATCCGTTGAAGATATCAATCTTTAATAAATCTACAATATTATTGCACATTGTGTAATAACACATTGTGTAATACATTGTGTAATAACACCACCTGATGCCGGACGTATGACGTCATAATGGTTTACAGTACAATACCTCTGTCACAATGGTATTAGACCTTGATGGACTCGCAGAAAGCTGAGAGTCAACACACTGTAGGCAGTTTCTATCAATTTATGTTGGAGAGTAATAAACATAATATTAATCTCGCTTTCGTGAAATACCATTTTTATATAACTCGTGAAAGATTTAGTATTCAACTCGCTTTCGTCGTTTGATACACATCATTAACTCATTTAATAAAAATGGCATAACACGAAAGGTCGTTTAGTATCCTCTATGCATCTAACATTGGAACAACCTAGCTATTTCCACCATAGCTATTTATATCTGACCTGTCTCCTCCCTTTCTTTACCTAATGTCAGAACCGCCACCCTTTCCAAGTTCAATATCAAAATGTTTACATCGGCTCTTTATCTCAAATCACAAAAGCTCTAACCAAGCGTTATATAATCTCACATTTCGATCCACTGTTATTCTATATAGCATTTGTTTTTATATTAGAATTGTCAACTCTCACATAAAAGGACAGGTACAATTTGTTCCAGCATTCTAAATTATAAAATACATGTATCTAACATGTGTTCGTTGCAGACAAATCATTCTAAATATATGTCGAGCCTTTATATACTGAATCTTATCACCCACGTGATTCTCTCAACCAATCAAATCTCAAGATAAAAGACCAACGTTAGATAAACTTTCCGCCAGGCAATATAAAGACTGTCTCAACTCAGTTCCAGCAATTAACTCTGCAGAATGAAGACCCTTCTCATCAGCTTAGTGGCAGCCACAGTGCTCGGGTTGTGATGTCTCTTCCCTTCCAGCGGGACACACTTGAACAGCTCATACCTCTTGCCAGGAGCCCGGGGGAGACGAAGTTCGCCCACTTTGTTCACGAAGCCAACCTGACAGCTAACTTCACAAGGAAAGGTACTTCAATAAATACTTGTGGGCACGCTACGTTCAGAATGGTTCATGTGACTATTGCAGATTATATAATACTGACAAACATACAGTCTGAAATAGTTTTAGGGAAAACCACAATTAGGCATTTGTCACCACTCGCCCCTTTCTGTAACCTCCACCACGATTTGAGAATGCGCGTAATTGAATTGGGAATTGGATAAAAAAAAATTCCCGAGGAATATATTGACATTATAAAGTTCACAGTAAACAGAAATGTATTCCATGAATTAAAATTGTTAATGGATAAATCTCGTCATGCAAGGCGAGACATTCAAATTCAGACAGGTGCCTTGTTAACATTACGGCTCCAATGTTTATCTCTGAACAGCTATTTGGCTTTATAAATTTATTTCAGTTTAAAACCATTTGGAGTACAGAGAGGTGATGAATATTTCCATGAAAAACTGAATGCGACCTTTTCGTACAGATACCTTTGTCAAACAAAACGTCGCACTCACGAAATAGAAGAAGTTGTTGTCCATAACTGGATTTGCCTCCTCTAAGAGCCCTAGCACAAGAGTTCCGCTCAGACTTATACAACTGACGGTGAATTTCAAGGCGACTCTTCCGCCATTTCCTCTCTGCAGCTCTGCGTTTCCGCTTGGCTAAGAGAACCTGCTCATTATACCAAGGAGTCCCTGATCTGACAATGATTTCCTGACAATAGCTGCATCATTAGAAACGTGTCTTCCAGCACATACACAAAATTGGTAGAATTTAGACTGAAACTGTTCCATGATGGGTCTCTTCTCAACTCGCCATATTTCTGAACCATACACCAAAATTGTTTTGATTTATGTATCAAATATTATAAACAGTATAAGCGGCTGTATATTTTTTAATGTTATTTGTAGTGATTTGATTGCAAAGAACGGCTTATGTGCCTTCACCCCGTGAAGGTCCTGGTTAGAATGAACCTTCGGTAACCCATGCTCGTTGTAAGAGGCGACTAACGGGATCGGGTGGTCAGGCCCGCTGGCTTGGTTGAAACATGTCATCGGTTCCCAAATGCCCAAATGGGTGCTC